CAAAGCTGAAAGGAATTTTTAAACTGATAGCAGAGATATTTAAGTCTACTGCCCAGGGCTAATTTCAATTTTAGCTAGTTATTTTAAAATGAATCTTTTTTTGGCTTTGTATTTAGAACAGGGTCTCACTATATAACCCAGACTGCCTCAAACTTTCTATGTAGCTGAGAATGACCTTGGACTTCTGATACTCTGGTCTCTACCTCTGAGCCACCACACCCAGTATACACAGTGCTGGGTATGGAGCCCAGGGTTTCATGCATGTTAGGTAAGCACTCTACCAACTGAGCTACAACTAAGGCTGTTTTGAGCTACAGCCTCAAAACAGAATTCTTGTTCTTCCATGATATTTTGTCCTTAAGTCTGTGCCATCTCAGACAATGGTACTTCATCCACTGGCCAGTTGCTAAAGCCAAAATGTTAGGAATCAGAGAGAGAGAGAGAGAGAGAGAGAGAGAGAGAGAGAGAGAGAATCAAACCCAGGGATTGTACATGCTAGGAAAATGCTCTGCTACTTAGTCATACCAAGTAGAATCATCCTTTATTCATCATGTAGAATCCCTTAGCAACTTTGGTCCATTATAACTCTAAAATATGTCCTGAATCCATCAACCCTTTCTCCCCCTCACTGCTGCTGCTCTAGGCTGATGTGCTATTACTGCTCACTGGACTCCTGTGTTAATCTTCTAACTAGCCTCTGGATTCTTCACTTGCTTCCTTGAAATTCTCTATGTAGCAATGAGGGATCCTTAAAATATATCTTGCCAGTCACTTGGGTAAATGTCTCTTCACGTTCTACTTGTATTCACATTCAAGCTCTTCCCACTCCTTGCAAGGCTCTACATGAATGAGCTCATTATTGCTTCCCTGGGCCTCCACCGCCACTTGGCCTCACACGGACTGCTTCAGCCTCACCAGCTTTTCCTTTCTTCTGAAATTCTAGAGGCATTTCCTGCCTCAGGACTGTGTGTGACCTTTCAATTCTCTCAGTCTTTCATGGAACTGGCTCCTCTGAGGAAGTTTTTCTCCAAAAGACAGTTTTTCAGAAAGACTTTTCTTCTACCTTGGTTCATTTCATCTTTTTTGATTCAGGGTCTCCCTGAAGCCCCAGCTGACCTGGAACTCCCTATGTAGACCAAGCTGGCCTCAAACTCAGACATCTGCCTGACTCTGCCTCCCAAGTGATGGGATTAAAGGCAAGCACCACCACGCCTGGCCTTTTAAATTAAAAAAAATTTAATTTTATGTGTGTGTTTTGCCTGCATGTATGTAAGTGCACTATGTGTGTGCAACCTTGCAGAGGCCAGAAGAGGACATTGCATTCCCTGGAACTGGAGTTATAGATGGTTGTTAGCTGCCATGTGGGTGCTGGGAACTGAACTGAGGTCCTCTGCAAGAGCAGTCAGTGCTTTTACTGCCAAGCTATCCCCAGACCCTAATAGCATTTCTTGTACTTGGCAAATGGTTGGGGTGAGTCTGTTAGGTAACTTTATAGACCCCTCTCCTCTCCCTCCTAGCAGCATATAAACTCCATGGGGACTGGTACTTAGAACAGCTGGTGACAAAGACATTTAACACTGTGAATAGTTTTAATTCCAGTTCTCAGGCATAGCATGCTATGCTGCTGCTTTGAACTCATATCAGTAGCATTAAATATCTCTGGAAAATCTCAGCATGGTGGCACGAACCACATTATAACGCAGCACTTGGGAGGGGGAGACAAGTTGTTCAAGATCATCCTAGGCTACACAGTGAATTCTTGGCCAGCCTGGGCAACATGAAACTCAGACTCAAAACAAGGAAGCAACCCCCCCCACTACCCCCCCCCAAAAAAAAAAACCTTGGAAAAAAACTATCTCAGGACTAGCTGTGGTTATTTTGGAGTCAGAACTATATGGGTATAGTCTTTCCCTACCTGTTTCTAGTTGTAACTAAACAAATTACTTATTACCCCAAGTCTTCAGGTTCTTAACTATAAAATGGGCACAGTATAAAGCTGTGGTAGGATTTAAATTATAAAATTAATATAAAAAGTAGAACAGACTATTTGGCTTATAGTATATCTAGCTGTTATTTCTTTTTTGCCCAAGTCTTCCAAAATTCCAAGTTTATATGTGTCTTATACTTGATGATGGGCACTATTCTAAATGTTTTATGTGGGTTAACTAGAATCCATTCAGTAAACAAACATAACAAAAACAAACTGCAGGAGGCTTGGAGTGTAGCTCAGTAATAGAGACTTGTCTAGCATGCTTGAGAGGGAAACAAGTCAGGGAAGAAAGGGGTTCAGTGAGAGTGGGAGGAGGAGAGGAACCTGGGGGTGAAAATGACTAAAATACATTAATGTACCTTATGAATGGAACTGTCAAAGAGTAATCATTGAAAAAGTTATCTCAGGGCTGGGGAGATGGTTCAGTAGATAAAGTACCCGCTCTGCATCAGTTCAGATCCCCAGCATCATCTACAAAGCCCAGTGTGGTGGTGACTGACTTTTGGGTAAGGGGTGGGGGTGGGGAGAGGTAGACTTCTGTACTTGCTGGCCTAGTGGCTATGTTGAACACAGGGTGACCCTGAGAAAGACACTATGTGGTGGTACAGACAGGAGCCTCCAGGCCAGTCTTGGACTGGTTTCTTTTGGCATATTTTAAATGACAGCGCCACATTTTGTTTTTCTCCCCCACCCTCTTAAAGACATGGTCTCACTATGTAGCCCTGGCTGTCCTGGAATTCCCTACATAAACCAGGCTGGCTCAAATTCACAGAGATCTGCCTGCTGGGATTAAAGCTGTAGGTCACCATGTCCAACTGAGACACACTTCTTTATTTAAGCCACTGTTGATCTGGGTTTCTGTTAAATGTGATGAAACCTGATTTTTGAGCCCTGGGAGAGGGGTCCTACCTCACCTCAAAAAATAAGGCAGAGTCAAAGAGGAAGATTCTGGCATTGACTTTTGGCTTGGAACTTGCTATGGAGACCAAAGATCTGCCTGCTTTTGCCTCCCAAGTGCTGGGCTTAAAGGCATGGTTTTTAAAACCCTGTTTTATAAACACTTCTGTAGTTATAGTTCCAAATACTAAAGTGAAATGGAGAGGAGTTGATGATTATAAACTTTGGCTCTTGGGTGCTGGAGATTCAAGTATAAGAACTACATCTAGTTTTGTATCTTCCCACTGAACCAGTATTACATTTACAAAAATCCTTCTGGACAATTTGCATCACCTTTCCCACTGCCATTCCCTTGCCCTTGGTCTCCTCCTCTCCACTTTTGGCAAGGGTAAGAGAACTTACTTTTCTGCCTCTGGCCAGTGTCTCCCTGAGGGACATATTCTCCATGTGGTTTCTAGATGATTGAGACCCTTCTGTCTCTCAATCCTTATCTCTTTCATGCTCTGGCATGTGAGCTGGTGTTTATCTGTAGATAGTTTAAAATATATATCTGAGTGCAGGTTATGTGGCCAAGGTAAATAAATACCACAAAGAAAAAGCCCCTGACTTGGAACTTCTGGTTGTGAGGGAGGAAATTCTTTGAGACAGCAGGAAGTAGCTATGGCTTTTCTGCCAAACAATACTTCAACACCCCCAGCCTTAGAGAAAGATCATCCTGTTGTTTCAATCCAGCAGATGCTGAGCAGTTAGAGAAAGGGCATAAGACTGGGGAAGTATTACCACCTGTTTATGTTGACTTTTACCAAATAAGCCTGGCCACCAGCTGTTGAAGTGTGGGGAGGAGCTAAGGTGTGAACAGGAAATGCCATCTCAAGACTGAAACTAGTGTTTTCCAGCTGTTTGGAAAAATAAAGTGCCAAGGAAATACATGGCCATTTTTATTTTTTTGGAACCTGCTACGCGGAGCTAGCCGCCCAGCCAGCCCTACATGGCCATTTTTAAATGGAGAAGAGGCAAAGGAGAGATGATGGATCCCATTCTGTGCCCACGCTGTGTTTATTTCCTCCTCCTCCCTTACTGAAGCTCATATATTATTGGAACAGTAATATCCACACAATGATGACATGTCTCAGTTTCCTTAATAGCAGCTATAGTCATGGGACTGGGTTCTGGCCAAATTAAGTGAAAGTGTTGAGTATGATTTCCAGGGAACTCTTGGAAATCTGGGCTTGCCCACTTTGTCCTTGCTTTCTTCTCTTTATGCTGCCAGGAATTTCAAAGTGATGGCTGCTGGCCAAGTGGCTATGTTAGAACACAAGGTGACCTTGAGAAAGACACTCTGTGGTAATACAGACAGGAGCCTCCAGGTCAATCTTAGACTGGCTTCTTTTGGCCTTCTCTTAAATGAGAGAGATACGCTTCTCTAAGTCATTGCTGATTTGGGTTTCTGTTGAATGTAATCAAGGCCAGTCCTAACTCTGATACCATGATGATTCTCAGCACTTCTATCTTCTAAAGCGCGCTGATTTCTTTTACCCAGTTTTAGCCTTCTAACGATATTTTAAGAAAGCTGAGGTACACAGGATGTCAGAGGAGGACACTGGAGATGAAACAATGCAAGACTTGCCCAATGCCACACACCAGGCTATCAGGAGAGCAGTAGTACGCTTTGGAAGCCAGGCTGCCTTACCCTGAAGATTTTAAAAGCATGTTGGAAATGGGAGGCAAATCTTTGAAAATGCTTTGACTGGGTAAGTGGTGGTTATTTTTAAAAAGCAGGATGTAAGCACAACTTATTTCATCTGTCAAAAGAGCAACTATCAAGGGGACTTGAGACATTCTGACTTTAAAAACATCCTTCAAGTTGCCTCCAGAATACTATTGCTACATTAAAATGAATTAGAACTCATTGTATTGTTATACATCGAAAGAGCTGAATTGTCAAACAGGTGAAGACACATTTTGAATAAGCAATTAGTAAAATGAATGTGTTACTGCTTGAAAAGCTTCACAGACTTGATGATTAATGAAGAGTTGACAAAGTCGTTAGAGGAAAAAGCAGAAGTAGAACTTTTTTTTTGGTTACAATCCAAATAAAACGGGATCACATGGATTCAACATAGAAAAGTTTTAATGAGACAAATGTCAAGCAAGCATATCAACTTAAAGAAAATCTAAAATTTTAATTACAAAACACTTGTACGGAAAACTTGGCAATTCAACACTTCCAAACACATGTACACAATATTTCTTTTTCTAAGATTTGTCAGAAATAAAACACCTTGCCTCCCTTTCCTCAGCTGTGCCTGTGTTTCAGGAAAAAGCACGAAGGAAATCTGTAACACTGAGCAGGCCACAGCTTATTTCTTGAGAAGAACATGAAAGTGTAGCAACCTCTATGAACTTACTGGGAAGTAAATTTTTGTGCCAGTCTGCAACCTCACTTACCACCTCCTCCTTGAGCACAGAGGTGAGAGGGCATGGCACAGACCTGCACCCAGAACCTGACAGTTTTGTGGCAGCTGAATCCCAGCTACCAGTGAGTGAGTCAGGTGTCCACTGGGAGAGGCAGTGTTTGAAAGCAAGCTACTGTTCTGGGGACAGTGATTTCACCTGTAGACTCTTTTGCTATCTCCTGAATTCTGACTATGAAAACATGTCCAGTTAAGGTGAGGTATCCCATCTAGAGAGGGCGGAATGATGATCTTTGGACCAAGTCACAGTCTTATCTGGCCATAAAACCAGAGCTGCACAAAACTGCACATAAAGGAAAAACAGCCAATACTAGGAGGAAGGAAGAAAGGACAGGAAGCATCTGGCAGAAGGCAGACACAAACTTCCAGTACCAGCTTAGATGTCCTTCTGCCACAGACAGTGAGTTCTAGCATGGACGTAGCAGGCAAGAAATCTAAGAGAGGTGGTAAAAACAGCAGATGAGTGCAGGGGAAACAGGAAAATATAGAGGCAGCAGAGCCTAGCTGGTTTTGTAACAATAATGAAGGGGTCTTATTCTAAAGTAGTTGTATGTAGGCTTCAGTGCATGGAAATCTGATGCCTTAAGTAAGACATTAAAAGGCTTTTTACTGTTACTGTTTCCTTTGGACTAACTAATAAAGCACACACGAGAGAACAGAGTGCTGAGAAGACAGGATGGTGCAGCCACAGGACAGGGACTTGTCCTGTGAGGGACCACATACTATCCCCCTGCCTTCAGTGGCCTGGTGCTCAGAAAATGGGCTCAGCACACTCTGTTTTAGTTCCAAAGATCTCAGCTCTGTGATCTTTAGCCTTGTGCTCTACAGCATGAAGGAAAAAAAAAAGACCCTGAGGAGAGAAACAGGACCTGTTTGCTTTTTTGTTAAACAAAAATCCCTTACTAAGGACAGGGAAGGAAGGGAAGCCTTATCTTTTCCACATAGATTTGGAAGACAAAGCACATGAGAATTCCTCTGTGCCCTTTTGTTGGCTCAAGAGACTATTTCCAATGCTCTTTCCACTTGTCTTAATGCATGAATCTGTACACCAGAGTTCTTCAGTTTCTACTTAGGCTAAACTTTGGACTTTTTTCCAATACCAAATGTATATTACTTTTTCCTTTCCTCCCTCTTTACCAACAACCTTTTCCTCAGCAAAAGTGCTCCACAAGACACTGCCAACAGACGGAGACTGAAGTCTTGCTGTGGCTGGGGCTCCATGGCAGAGCATTGCTCCTGCTCAGAGAACAGTAGGCAGGACCAGGAAGGAGGGAGCATTTTCCTTCAGGGAGGCAATCAGGAAGCCTGCTGAGGGCTGGCACCCACTGAGTACCACGTGGGGTAGGAAGCATAGCCTCACTCTGTAGGGCACTGTCAACAAGAAGCTCCTTTCTTTGGAGTCACAGCAGGGCAATGATGGGAGAAGATTGGGCCCATCCAATGAGAGAATTCTCCTTCAGAGCCCTGCTGAGCAACAAAGCCCAGAGGTCAGAAAATGGAGATGTATAACTTGGTGGGAGAGAAGGGAAGCAAAAAATCACCCACAAAGGCATTTAAGAAAGTGACATCTAGGAAAGAAAACTGGAGCTCCACTGATAAAAGGGTCCAATGGAATTGCAACAATGAGAAGTCTTCCTTTCTGCTGTGGAGGAAGGAAGATGTCAGTCTGAGGGTCACCGTTGTCAGCAGAATGTATGCAGATCCACTTCAGCAGAAATGGAAATGAAAGGAAACCAAAGACTAAGGAGAGGGACTGTACACTTTCAAAGCTTCACATAGGGAAGTTCCATAGCAAGTTCACACACATGTGCCTTTGTTGTTCCCTCCTATGGCTTCCTGGGATGAAGGCATTTCACTTACTGACAATTCTTTCACAGGGATCTGTAGTCCTCCACAGCCCCAACTCAGTTCAAATTTCCATGGATGGCTTCTCATTCTGCACAGATAAAAACATTACATCTTGGAGTTCTAAGGTTTGTAGAAGTAGTGGGGAAAGACACCAAAAAAGGTAACAATTGATCAAAAGGAATTAGGACTATTGCGTTCTCACTAGTTAAAAATACAATCACTTAAGCTGGCATGGTGGTACATGCCTTTAATTCCAGCACTCAGGAGGCAGAGGCAGGTGGTTTGAGGCCAACCAAGTTCCAGGCCAACCAGAGCTGCATAGTGAGAACCTGTTGCAGAAAACCAAAAACCAAACCAAACCAATCAAACAAACAAAAAAACACTGGGCCAGCAAGATGACTTAATGGGCAAAGGTGCTGGCCACCAAGCTTAATAACCTGAGTTGGATCCCTGGGATTCAGGTGGTGGAAAGAGAAACAACTTCCACAGTTGGTTTCTGACCTCCACACCCATGCCATGGCATGACCATGCACACATATACATATGTAGGCACACACACTTACACTAATAAAATGTAATAAAAAAATACAAGGAAAGATACTTTTTTCAATTTCCAAACAGTCAAATTATTTGGTTCAACAGAAATTGGGCAATACATGGATTGATATACTTTATTATTTTTATTTTATGTGTGTTATGCCTGCATGTAGGTAAGTGCACCCATGCTGTGCAATGCCGGCCGAGGACAGAAGAGGCTGTCAGATTCCCGGCGACTGGAGTTACAGACAGTTGTTAGCTGCCATGTGGGTGCTGGGAACTGAACCCAGGTTCTCTGCCAGAGCAGCAAGTGCTCTTACCCACTGTGTCATCTCTCCAGCCCTGGATTTTGATAGTCTATAAAGTGGTCACCTCTCAACATAAACAGCCTTCTGGTTCCACTTGTCTCTAGGTATTAGTTAGCCACAAGAAAGGTGACAGCTAGGGTAATTCTTCATTGTACACCTATAAAAAATTTTAAATATGTTTTTAAAATATTGCCCCAAATTCGATAACATTATGTTCACTGTACTTCAGCTCCTGCCTCCTTTGCTTTAAAAGCCCGCTGATGACAGTTTAGACCATCCATGTTTAGCCCTCGTTTCTGAAATAACCTACTCTGGTATTTTCACCCAGGACATCTCACCTCTTTGGGATTCAGTTTCTTCATAAATAAAGTACTATACTTCTGAGCTGGAGAGATGGCTCAGTGGGTAAAGTACTTACTATACAAACATGAGGATCCAAGTTTGGACCCAGCACCCATGTAAAAAGCTGGGTGTGGTGGTACATGTCTATAACCCCAGGGCTGGAGACTTGGAGATAGGTGAATCCCTGGAGCTTGTTGGTCAGCCAGGCTAGTCCAACTGGTGAGCTCCAGGTCCAGAGAGATACTGTCTCAAAAAAACAATGTGGAAGCCGGGCATGGTGGCCCACGCCTTTAATCCCAGCACTTGGGAGGAAGAGGCAGGCAGATCTCTGTGAGTTCAAGGCCAGCCTGGTCTACGTAGTGAGTGCTAGGACAGCTGGGGCTACAGGGAGACCCTGTCTCAAAAAGACCAAAAA